CCACACGAAGCTTCAAGTCTTCTCGGCCACGGTCATGTCCTCCCTTCCCTATGATTGCGAAACGTGGACCTCCCTAATGGAACTGCTGCACTGGTTAAAAATATGTAGGCCCGCCTGTCTACGATCCATGCTGGGTTTAACCAGGCAGGATTGTGCGAGGAGCTCACGAATCCTTGAAATATCTGGACAAAGTCCCATCGGTGAGCTCCTCCGGCAGGCAAGGCTGCCCAGCCACCGCATGCCTAAACAGCTTTTGTTCAGCCGCATAGAGGGGGCTAAACGGACGCGGCACGGGCTAGAGAAAAATGAAGTGATGTGGTACAGGAGGACGTGAAGCTGAGTGGACTTGCCAATGACTGGTACCAGCGGTGTCAAGATCGGCCTCTGTGGAGGAGGTTCGTGAAGAACGCTGCTACTGGGCAGTTGGAGGCAGTCGCCCTCCAGCAACAACGGAGGGCAGAGGAGCGACGCTCACAACAACGAACGGAGTGCCGGGGGGCTAAACACACCAAGTTGGCACAATATGGGACACAGGTGGTCCATCTGCCAATCATCTCAGTCAGTCAACCGCTGGCACCTGGTTTTGCCCCGTTCGACACTTCACCTGACCTTAAAGTGCACACAGCCAGAACCAAGCGCTGTGGTGACGTCCTCGCCACTTAGTGGCCAATAGCGGTTGTTTTTGTTGTGGTTGTATCTCTGTGTGTATCTCTGAATGTGAGACAGCTGCCTGCTGATTAGCGCGTACAGTACACACACACACAATACACACAGACACCACACAATGTAGTCCCACATCCGAGCGCATAGCCGCATCCGAGTGAATTCAAACCGCGTAGAGGGAAGTTTGGGTCGAAATAGGTTCGCCGCAAAGACGCGAAATCGCACAAAACGAATCCCACATACAGTAGATACACACGGACCTCAGTATTGACCAGGGCCGCCTGCCAGAACAGAACCGTGATCCTCTGCTAACGTCGTGGCGACCGCGCTCCCGTTGGCGGGGGGGGGGGGGGCAAAGTGAGGGGGGGGCACCACCAGGTCGTTTGCTCGGCCCTGGGTGAGCCGGCAGACCGGCGCCTGAACGAAGAAGGGGCTTGGGTGGTGACACCTCGAACCAACTCGGTAACTTTTAAGCAGCCAGGCGTTGACAAGCCGCCTCCATCTCCTCCTGCTCGTGTCTCTTTAGACGCGAGCTGTCCTAGGTTCAACGGGCCACCAGCCCTTGGCGTCTGACACCAACAGGCCACGTTCAGAGACAACGATATCGTGTACTAAAACCCTACACATACACACACTGGGAATATACTTAAACCCTACACACACACACTCGAAATGTACTTAAACTCTACACACACTGGGAATGTACTTAACCCCTACACACACACAATGAGAATGTACTTAAACCCTACACACAAACAATTGGAATGTACTTATACCCTATACACAATGGGAATGTACTTAAACTCTACACACACACTGGGAATGTACTTAAACCCTACACACACACACAATTGGAATGTACTTAAACTCTACACACACACTGGGAATGTACTTAAACCCTAGACACAATGGGAATGTACTTAAACCCTAGACACACGCACAATGGGAATGCATTTAAACCCTAGACACAATGGGAATGTACTTAAACCCTAGACACAATGGGAATGTACTTAAACCCTAGATACAATGGGAATGTACTTAAACCCTAGACACAATGGGAATGTACTTAAACCCTAGACACAATGGGAATGTACTTAAACCCTAGACACAATGGTAATGTACTTAAACCCTAGACACAATGGGAATGTACTTAAACCCTAGACACAATGGGAATGCACTTAACCCCTAGACACACACATACTGGGAATGCATTTAAAGCAGTGGTTCTTAACATTTACTGCAGCCTGCACCCCATTCGGTTCGCAATCGTAAAAATATATACAATGTTAATAAATACATAGATGTTTGACGAAACAAAGCAAGTTGTAACTTAACATGCCCTTGCTTTAATTTGTGTTTTCGATAAATTTTCCTTAAAAAAATCTTCCCAAGTTTCGCACCCCCCAGAAAGGGCATCTCGCACCCACCGGGTTGCCCGTGCCCCCCAGCTTAAGAACCACTGATTTAACCCCCCACCACACAAACAATGGGAATGTTTCAAAGTCATATATTTCACGATGGCAACATGTTAAAATTACACGAAAAGTTACAAACGGTTTAATGAGTTATCAAGTTTTACTAACCATTTTATAAATGCTCTATGTGCCCTCCACCAGCTGTACGGACAACATCGAGACGAGAGTTGTATTCTTCCCAAACGCCTCTCTTCTCACGTTTCCCTCCGAGGTGCGTGGCCGCCCTGTGCTCTTCCCCTTACATCAACAGCTTCCTAAAACTGTCGGTACCAACGACGAACGCTCTTTGACATTGGCGGATCAATGCCAAGACGCCGTTGAATCGCACGCTGCACCGCAATTACGGATTCACTCTTGCTGAACTGCAGAACGCAACGCGCCCCTTGTGTTGCGGGGGTCACCGTCTTGACAATGACTGAGGCTAGGGGCTGTTTGTGCGCTGGGAGAGGCATCTCGCGGTAATCATTAGAAACTCTATGCCCCGCCCTCTCTATGCCCCGCCTTCTCTATGTCCCGCCCTCTCTATGCCCCGCCCTCTCAAGTGCTAAGAGTTTCATTCATGGGCGGTTCGTGGTTGCAGAGATATAGCGAGTTCAAATCGGGCCCATATTTTATAAACACCCTGTCATTAAACATTACAATAACAACCGCCATTCGCCACTAAGTGGTCGTGACGTCACCACGGCGCTTGTGCCAGGCTAGGTGCACTTTAAGGCTATGTGACGTGTCGAACGCCAGGAGGTCACGGGACGGACTCAGGTGCCATGAGTTGACTGAGACGACTGGCCGATGCACCGCCAGTGCCCCCCTACTGTGCCAACTTGCTGGGTTTTAGACGCCCGTCGCTCAGCCCGTTGTTGTGAGTGTCGCTTCTCTGCCCTCCGCTATTGCTGGAGGGCGACTGCCTCCCTTACGCACACACGCTCGCTTGCATTGCGTACACGCACGTATACACACCCACACCCCACCACCACATACTGGCCACGACAAAGACACAGATCCCTCGTGTCAACTTTACAGACTTTTTGGACAAGTGGTGTTAGCGAGCCTGTGAAGGCCGGAACGGCACACGAGGAGGGGGTGGGTGGCCAGCACCACGCCCGGCCACCTTTGTCTCCCCAGTGGCGATGTTTACTGCACACCGCACCAGGTACTCATTTAATGCTGAGTCCACCTCAGGGAGGCCCAGGACCGGTTCAGATCAGTGACGTGCGGTGAGGTCAATGGCTGGGGAGGCACTGGCTCGAGGCAGAGCCAGATTCACACACTGAAGGGGGGCGTGGCCTCACGGAGGGGGCGTGTCCTCACTGAAGGGGGCGTGTGAGACGCGTACCCCTCAGTGAGGCAGATGGGATAGCTGCCTCCCCTGGTGCTTTTTCATTGCAGTTTCATGACGAGACCAACGAGCCTAAATATCTTTATACACATACGTGAAATAAGTTACCTGGAGTATGGAAGGCGAGGACATTGAATGAAGGGGTCTACAAACATTACATTGGTGACGTACTGAGATAGTAACAGGCACGCGCTTATTGCCCACGCTCCATCCAGTTACTGAGGGGTTGCGCAATCAGAGGGGAGGCTGAGCTCGTCGCTGCCTCACCTCTCGTCTCTCCCTGTATTTGCAGCGGAGCTCCGCAAATTTGGCGATTTTGACTCTAAAAATGATTGGAATTGTACAGAAATTACATTTATAACACAGATCAGTGGAAAAATCTTCATATTTTTTTACTTTTGTAACAGCTATTTCTATTGGAGTATGGCAGGTGATGCTCTGCCTCCCCTGACTGCACGTCCCTGGTTCAGATAATCGTCACCGGTGTTGGTCGTGAGCGGGAATCGACCTGGGGTCACAGGGTTCGTAACGCAGCGTAGCGTTAATCACTCCACTCACACACCCTCAACCACCCACGCACACCGACACACAGACTATACCACACCCACCCACACACTTGACCTACACCCACCCACCTACACCCACCCACATACACCCACCTACACCCACGCACCTACACCCACCCACCTACACCCACCCACCTACACCCACGCACCTAGACACACCCACCCACCTACACCCACCCACCTATACCCACGCACCTACACCCACCCACCTACACCCACGCACCTAGACACACCCACCTAGACCCACCCACCTACACCCACGCACCTAGACCCATCCACCTACACCCACGCACTATACCACACGCCCACCCCCACCCATACACTTCACCTACATCCACACCCACCCACACGGTGTAGTTGGGTGGGTGTGGGTGGGTGTAGGCTACACCCACCCACCTACACCCACACCCACCTACCCACCCACACCCACCTACACCCACCTACACCCACGCACTATACCACACGCCCACCCCCACCCAGACACTTCACCTATACCCACACCCACCCACCTACACCCACCCACCTACACCCACCTACACCCACGCACTATACCACACGCCCACCCCCACCCAGACACTTCACCTACCCCACCCACACCCACCTACACCCACCCACACCCACCCACACCCACCTACACCCATACCCACCCACCTACACCCATACCCACCCACCTACACCCACACCCACCTACACCCACCTACACCCACGCACTATACCACACGCCCACCCCCACCCAGACACTTCACCTACACCCACATCCACCCACCTACACCCACTTACACCCACGCACTATACCACACGCCCACCCCCACCAAGACACTTCACCTACACCTACACCCACACCCACCCACCCACCTACATCCACACCCACCCACCTACACCCACGCACTATACCACACGCCCACCCCCACCCAGACACTTCACCTACACCCACACCCACCCACCTACACCCAAACCCACCCACCTACACCCACCCACGCACGCACGCGCGCGCGCTCTTGCTGCCGCGCTAAAGATGGCGAGGCTTGGAGCGTCGTCTGTGTCGTCTCTGCCGCCGCCGCTGCTGCTGCCGCCGCTGCTGCTGCTGGTGGTGGTGGTGGCCCCCACGCTGCTCATTCGCTCCACTCTCGCCAACTCCTTCCCGCAGCGAGAGAGGTGAGCATCTCGGAGATTGAGGGAAGGGGGGGGGGCACTGTGTAATTGTAAGGGGGGCCCAGGGAATCCCCTCCGCGTTGTCTCCCATCTCGATCTCATCTCATCGCCTCTCACAGTCCACGCGCCGGGGCTTGGGGGAGCCGGGCGGGGGGCGAGGCAGGCGGTCTCCGTGTCTCTGAGTCTCTCTGTCATCCGTGTCTCTCTGTCATCCGTGTCTCTGAGTCTCCGTGTCTCTGAGTCTCCGTGTCTCTCTGTCATCCGTGTCTCTAAGTCTCCGTGTCTCTGTCATCCGTGTCTCTATGTCCTCCGTGTCTCTATGTCCTCCGTGTCTCTATGTCCTCCGTGTCTCTGAGACTCCGTGTCTCTCTGTCATCCGTGTCTCTGAGTCTCCGTGTCTCTATGTCCTCCGTGTCTCTATGTCCTCCGTGTCTCTGAGTCTCCGTGTCTCTATGTCCTCCGTGTCTCTATGTCCTCCGTGTCTCTGAGACTCCGTGTCTCTGAGACTCCGTGTCTCTCTGTCATCCGTGTCTTTGAGTCTCCGTGTCTCTATGTCCTCCGTGTCTCTATGTCCTCCGTGTCTCTATGTCCTCCGTGTCTCTATGTCCTCCGTGTCTCTGAGTCTCCGTGTCTATGAATCTCCGTGTCTCTGAGTCTCCGTGTCTCTGAGTCTCCGTGTCTTTGTGTCTGCGTGTCTCCGTGTCTCTGAGTCTCCGTGTCTCTGAGTCTCCGTGTCTCTTAGTCTCCGTGTCTCTGAGTCTCCGTGTCTCTGAATCTCCGTGTCTCTGAGTCTCCGTGTCTCTGAGTCTCCGTGTCTCTGAATCTCCGTGTCTCTGAGTCTCCGTGTCTATGAATCTCCGTGTCTCTGAGTCTCCGTGTCTCTGAGTCTCCGTTTCTTTGTGTCTCCGTGTCTCTGAGTCTCCGTGTCTCTGAGTCTCCGTGTCTCTGAGTCTCCGTGTCTCTGAGTCTCCGTGTCTCTGAGGCTCCGTGTCTCTGAGTCTCCGTTTCTTTGTGTCTCCGTGTCTCTGAGTCTCCGTGTCTCTGAGTCTCCGTGTCTCTGAGTCTCCGTGTCTCTGAGTCTGCGTGTCTCTGAGTCTCCGTGTCTCTGAGTCTCCGTGTCTCTGAGTCTCCGTGTCTCTGAATCTCCGTGTCTCTGAGTCTCCGTGTCTCTGAGTCTCCGTGTCTCTGAGTCTCCGTGTCTCTGAGGCTCCGTGTCTCTGAGTCTCCGTGTCTCTGAGTCTCCGTGTCTCTGAGTCTCCGTGTCTCTGAGTCTCCGTGTCTCTGAGTCTCCGTGTCTTTGTGTCTGCGTGTCTCTGAGTCTCCGTGTCTCTGAGTCTGCGTGTCTCTGAGTCTGCGTGTCTCTGAGTCTCCGTGTCTCTGAGTCTGCGTGTCTCTGAGTCTCCGTGTCTTTGTGTCTGCGTGTCTCTGAGTCTCCGTGTCTCTGAGTCTCCGTGTCTCTGAGTCTCCGTGTCTCTGCTGCATATCGCCGCCGGCTCTCTCTGTGTGGGGGATATCGCCGGGGCTCTGTGCCCCCTATCGTAGTTGGGGGGGGGGGGGGGGGGGGGGGGGGGGTACGATAGCAGTGGAGTGAACATGGAACGCTGGCGGTGGGCGTGAGCGGATTCCCGAGTCGAGAGGTCTCTGCAAAACGCGACGCCAAACTTGAGGCGCTTGCGCCACGAAGGGAGACAAAGGCGGCCGGGCGTGGTTCTGGGCCACCAACCGGCCCTACGCGTGCCTGCGGAGAAGCTCGCAGACAGCACTTGCCCCTTACAGTCGCTTAAGGCTACACGGGGGTTCTTTGTCTTGTGTGCGTGTTGGGTGTGCGTGGAGAGGTCGCGTCGTGCTCTGCGCATTGCGCTGCGAACCCCGGGCGAGCCGAGTTCGATCCCCGCCCCCCGCCCCCAACTCACGACGAAGAACAGAGGAGAATATCCTGCAGCAATTCCCGGGGATTCCCAACGAGGTCGACTGCGCGTTGAGAAGCGAGTCCCAGCCGCGGTGTGGCGAGAACATCGGCACCGGGAGAGACAAAGGCCGCCCGCTCGGCGTGGTGACGTTGGCCCTGACGGCCTGAATAGGTGCTCGCTGACTGCACTTGCCCGCCGCAGTCTGCGAAGGCTATCGTGGTGGTTGGGGGGGGGGGCTTTGTGGGTGTGTGTGGACGCGTTGGGACACAGGGAGACATCTGGTACCGTGGGGGGGTCCGGGTTTACCATTGCGTCGTCAGCATTGTCAACACCAGCAGCCATGATCAATCCACTGCTGGATTGAGGGCCTCCCTTCATCGGCGGCCGCCACCTTGGCACGATCTTGCGACGATTGAACAATCCACCCGGCATCTGAACGGATTTCATCGCTCCGTCTCCCTCGTCGAGCACCTGATCTCAACTCCGTTCCGTCAGCGCGTTGCGTGCGTGTGTTGCGTAATTGGTATAGAGTAGCGGTGAGCGCACTGCGCTACGAAGCCGGCGACTCGGGTTCGAATCCCGCTCACGGCCAATATCAGTGACAGCTCGTAACTGAACCGGTCCTGGGCCTCCCTTGGGTCGACTCAGCCTTTAAACGAGTACCTCGTGCGATGCGTAAACGTCGCCGCTCGGGATACAAAGGCGACCGGGGCGCGGTGCTGACCACCCACCCCCTCGTGTGCCGTGCCGGCCTTCACAGGCCAGCCCGCTGAGGCTACACTTGGGGGATCTTTGTCTCGTGTTATTGGCGCATGTCACGGCGGCTGTTATGTCGCCGTCTGCCTCGATGGGCACCGGGTCGCGTGGCTAACGCGAGAGGCCGTCGTGTAAGGCGCGCTCGGGCGCGTCTCGGTGGCCGTGAGACGACTGCTCTGCGGGATAGGCGATGGTTATTTATTATCTCACTGTATACGTGAATTATTGATGCAACGTATCAGTCAAAGTGTAGGCACCGTCCGTGTAAACATGCCGAGCGCGTGTGGAAATGCCTCGCGCTGCGTGTGCCATCATCGTAACAATTATAAAGATATGCCGGCGATTGCCAATGCACTGCTATCAAAATATGTTGCGTATTTAATGCAGGAGAGCCACGCCGAGTCGTGTGCCTCGTTATCCTGAGGGATATGCTGCTGCTGCTACAATGAGGTCTTCGTTTGTAAGACGTTCTCAGCTGATCAACGCCGAGTTGTGTTCTTTGTTATTCACGTGCCGGAGGAGGAAACCGGAGCGCCCGGAGAAATACCCCACGCATTGCGCGAGGGAGCAACGCTCTATCCCCCGTACAGACGGAACGAAGCGAGTGGAGATGAGTCCACTTGCCCTACCGCCTTCTGGTGAGACAGGGTACGACTCCTCCTCGACACCCACGGGAAGGGAGTGTGGAACAGATGGAGATTATATTAGGACGCTGTCTTTCCGACAGCTCTGTTCTTCACCTGAGGACGGTTGCTTGCGTTGTGGCCGAAACGTAGTGAGAATTTTATTATGTTTACTTTCATTATTTTATTATTTTCCTTCTACGTGACTTTACCGAAAGAACCAAGAATATGAATCCCTGCAGTCACGAAAGCTTTAAATCGACAAGATGGAGATAGTCCACACTTTTCTGTATCGCCTTCTCCCTGGCAAAGCCAGGGGCACGACGACTCCTCGACACCCATCTGTGCGGTGATCCACCAACCCTCACCGCTGCCTCCACAGCGCTGGGTGACAGGCGTCAGTCACGTGCAGCAGCAGCAGCAGCGTAGCCACCACCACCACCAAAGACAAAGACCCCCTGTATAGCCTTAACAGACTGTTGGGGCAAGTGCTGTTAGCGAGCACCTATGAAGGTTGGAACGGCATGCGAGGGGGTGGGTCGCCAGCACCACGCCCGACCGCCTTTGTCTCCCCAGTGGCGATGTTTACACACCGCACCAGGCTACTCATTTGAGGCTGAGTCGACCTAGGGGAGGCCCAGGATCGGTTCAGATAATCGTCACCGGTGTTGGTCGTGAGCGGGAATCGACCCCGGTTCGCCTGGTTCGTAGCGCAGCGTAGCGCTAACCGCTACACCACCGCTCCCGCCACCACCGCCACCGTCACCGCCACCGCCACCACTACCACTACCACCACTACCACCACCACCGTCACCACCACCACCGTCACCACCGCCACCACCGCCACCGCCACCGCTCCCGCCACCACCGCCACCACCACCACTACCACCACTCCCTCCACCACCGCCACCACTATCGCCACCACCACCACCACTACCGCCACCACCCGACTTAATGAACGCCTCCTCGCAAAGCAATATCACCGGTCAGGGGGATTGTTAGACCATGCTTCACCAGTCCTGGCTAGTGAGTGCTGCTCGTGAATGAGGGGGGGGGAGGGTAACTAGGAGCGGTTGCAAATATCTCTCGCCACTGACGTTAGCCGTGACCGGGAATTAAACGGAGAATTCCTGGGTGGTGCTTTATACATCGCGAACTGCATCACCTCCCGTTTACCTGGCTGGTACGTATGTATGTTGAACTTCTTTCGCACCGTACGTGGCCCAACGCGCTCATCGGTTGTGCGTCGTCGGGTTGAAACCGGCCCATCATCCTCTGGGGGGGGGGGTCGATAAAATAGATACCACTTTGTACGGGAAGTCAACGGTGATTATACTGTCATGGAGAGACTCGCCACCCCAGCCGCCATCGGAACGTGGAGTGTCCCCTCCCCCCAATGGCTCTTGCAGGGCTGTACACGAACAGGAAATGATCACTTAATGGATGCCTCGGTACTCATTTGAGCAGCAGGAAATCAGTGCGACGCTGTCAGCTGACTGGGTCGACTCAGCCTTGAACGAGGACCTGATGGGTCTGTAACTCAGCACTGTATTGCCTCTCGTGCTTTGTGTGCGTGCGCTTGGGGGGAGCGGTGGCGCAGTGGTTAGCGCGCTCCGCTGGGAAACCTGCCGAGCAGCGTTCGAGTCCCGATCACGACGAATAACAGTGGCAGCAAATATGTGAACCCGCTCCTGGGCCTCTCCTAGGTCGACTC